ACACAAAATCCATCATCCTAAAAACCTCAGGGAATGGGAAAAATCAAGGTATTACAATTTTGTTGTCAGTGTTGGCACGAAATCACCATCATGTGTGGTGGTGGAGCATGAAAGTGTGGAAGGAACAGCTCTGCTGGAATAATTGTTGGGTGCCAAAGCCAAGGGTGGATGCCATGGAGTTAATGAGGGGTTGGTTGGGTGTTTTTTGGAGTTGTGGTGTCACAAAACCCACGTGTGTCCCTGGTGCCTCCAAGGGCTCTGACTCCAGCACTGAGTGTTGGTCCTGTGGCTGGGTGACATCAAATCCTTAATCTGGCAGCAAAAAAAAAATCTTTAAAAAATGACAATTTAAACCTTCACATTGGCTCATGGCAAAGAATTGTGCTGCAGTTGATCTTGTTAGATTAAGGCAGTGTAGGATCAAATAAATGCAGAATTTCCAGGAGTTTAAGAAATGCTGTATTTCAAATTCTGTGGCCAGAGCTCAGGATGATTTGCTTGAATCTGAAGAAGCTGCAAATGCACAAAAACTGAGGAAAAATGGCAGTGATGAAGAGAGATAAAAATCTGACAGCCAGTAGTATTAAAGCACAAGAGAATAACCTAAACTAATATCAGGCACATCATTAGTGAAATGTTTATCTCTTTATTAATTACAGGTCTGTAATAATTTGTTTTTGTTACAAGGGAGGAAATAATTTGAAATTCAGGGTTGATTTCTGGTTACTATAAATGTTCTTAAAAGTTTAAAGCATCAGGTATAAATTTTTCATAGTGACACGATTTGGATATAAATTTATAAATGTCCATACAGACACATGAGGTTGTGGCTGGTTATTTCTCTGTATAAAGTGTGTAAACTACAAGGACTTTCATATTATTTGTAGTAAAACAAGTTGTAAATTTGTATTTGGCAGTGAAGTGTAAAGTGACTGAGAATCCATTGCCTTTTTTTTTGGTTGTTTTTTAGGATAAAAGAAGTAAATGAAACCAACAAACGAGTAGAACAGGAAATCAAAGTGGCCATATTCACCCTCATCAATGAAATCAATAAAAAGGGAAAATCTCTGCTACAGCACCTTGAGGTACACTTGAAATAAAAAGCAATGATGGTGTTGAGGGGAAATATTTGCCTGTGGTTTGTTTGGTGTGACTGCAGGTGGTGCAGCACTGAAACTGCCTCTGAGGGATGTGCTGCAGTTAAATTTCTTATTTCTCCTCTCATCAGAGCTCCTTCAGTTTTGTGTCTGTGCCTCATATTCAAAATTGGGCTCATTGTGCAGGAGTGGCTGAAAATCCACTTTCCATATTCTGTTTGCCATATTTCTGTATTATAATGCTAAGGTGTGTATGATTTAATAATTCCCTCAAATAGCTTTTTAATGTTCATGTAAGAACAGTCAGAGCAGTATTTGTACATGAAGGTGTAATGCTGGTATTTAAAGTTGTATAATACAATTTAGAGACCATGAGTTCAAGCATCTTTTCCAGATGGCATGTTCTGAATAATTGCATTGTGACTTTTATTAAAATCCATGAAAATTCTGTCTGAAAGAGGAAATCATTTGTAAGAAGTTGGATCAGTGCATATGGCCATGCCATGAAAAAATTTAAGATCAGATGAATCACAATAGATTTTTCCTGGTTAAGGAACATTAATTTGGCAAGGAAATCCAATGTTCCTGGAAGAATAGAGTAACTTGATCATTAGTAAAAGAAATAATGCAAAATTGCATGAACTTTGGCTTTTCTTATTTACCTAGCATTAATTAAAATTTCCTTGGGACATTTCCCTTTTGATCCAAGGCCTGCCAGCAATTTTCATTTTCCTCTTATATCTAAAAGTCTCGTTGTAACGAATTACTTTACAATTTACATTTTACAGTTAATTTCTTGCAACAAAGCCTGTGTTCCTTTGCAGAACGTGACCAAGGAGAGGCAGATGAAGCTGCTGCAGCAGCAGAACGACATCACTGGGCTGTCCCGACAAGTGAAGCACGTGATGAACTTCACCAACTGGGCCATTGCCAGCGGCAGCAGCACTGCCCTGCTCTACAGCAAGCGCCTGGTGAGGCCACAGCACTGACCAGTGTGGGGGTGCCAGTTCTGGGCTTCTCTGGGTCTGCACTGAAGGCATTTGAGATGGTAGTTCATGTCCAGACTCAGGTGTTCATTATTTCTTATCACTAAAACAGTCTCACTACTGTGAGTGGGGCAGCTTTTCATTAGAAGGCACAAAATGGCCAATTTCTTGGTACAAGGTCTTTTAAGACTAAACCATCCAATTAAGAACTGACACCTGGATTATTTTCCCTTTTAACCCAATAACTGATCCCACAGAGCCCACAGTGCAGACTTTTGTGCCCAATTACAAAATGCCACCCAAACCCATGGAGAAGGAGGATGAAGAGGAAACCCAGGATGACACCCTGTGCCCTCCATCTTGCTGCCATCCACCACATACTAAAAATCCTAAAACCTCAATTTCTCACCAAGTGACACACCTACACTGCTCTGTATAATCTATTTCACACTTTTGTGGATTCCAGTCTATCTTGAAGTGTAGGAAACTTTCTCCATGGATGAGGGTGAAAGTCAGAGCTCCCCTGGGGTCAGGGCACCCCAGAGCAGACAGAGAAATATTCCCTGTGTGCCCTGGGTTTCCACAATCAGGGAATAATTACAGAAGGCTGATCAATCACTTTATTGTACTATATTATATTTCTCAAGAAGCTCATCCCCTTCCAGACAGTCCAATACAGCTTTTACATAAATGGTCAATCAATCCAAACACCATCCACTGCCCAGTTAAGAAGTTTGGTAAACAAATGTCCATGACACATTCCACATGTGCACAACAACAGGTGCAGCAAGTGGAGATAAGAATTGTTTCTCATTCTTTTCTCTTTCTCAGAGCTTCCCAGGAAAATCCTGGGAGAGAGTTGTCTGTCTCTGTTGAGGGGATGTGTGATTTCCACAGGGATCATCCAGTGCAGCCCCTGCCCTGCCAGACACCCCAAAATCCCACCCTGGGCATCCCTGGAGTGTTGTCCAAATGCTCCTGGAGCTCTGGCAGCCTTGAGGCAGCGCCCAGAACCCTCTGAGGGAGGAATCTTTCCCTAAAATCCAACCTAAACTCCTCTGGAACAGCTCCAGCCCTTCCCTGGGTCCTGTCCCTGCTCACAGATCAGAGCTGTCCCTTTGAGGAAGAAGCTGCAGCCCCCCAGTGAGGCTCCCAAAACACAACCTTGTGAAGCTTAGAAATGTTACACACTTGAAGAGACAGTCACATAGGTAACAATTAAACTGAGAGCTCAAAAAATGTCACAAAGCATTCTCTGATAGGAATCCACGTCAGGAATTCCACGGGTTCCTCTTCTCCAGCAGAACAAAGTGCCCTCAGCCATTCCTTGTGTGACTGCACAGACCTGGCTGTGCAGTTCTGTCCCAGTCTCTGTGTCCAGAGAGGGGAAAAGCTCCAATATACCCAGACTGGGATATAACACAAAGTCAAGTGTTGGTAACCAGCAGGATAATTCACTTTAATTGACATGAATACACCCAGTTCTGCACCTGCAGGCCCAGGGGTGTGCTCACCATAACTTTGCCAGTCTGGGAACGTGTCCTGAGCCACAAACACAGAGGAGCAGGGAAATCAAATATATCCACAGTGAGATTAGGACACAAATGAGGTCAAATGTTGGTAATCCAAAGGATACACCCAGTTCTGCCATGTGGGTCCATCATGGCACCCTATCTTCAGATCTTACAGCAGAGCCAAGCCATTGTGCAACAATTCACTCTTTACCAGAAGGGTTTAGGGAGTGTTGGTGTGGAAGGAATGGGGTCAGCTCTTTGAAGGCACCTCAGTGTTTCCCTGGACTCATTTCAGTAATGTTGTGGTGTAACAGTGCTGCTCTGCAATCCTCAGAGTAAAGAAATTGTCCAATGTGGGATTTTCCTGACAAACTGAGAATTTCCCAGGCTGTGAACCAAACTTGCTGCTGCCAGTCCTTGTTGGTGTTCCATGGCCTAAACACAGAGTTGTTTCTCATTCTTGGTTTCCCTGTCAGCAGCAGTGTTTTTGTGTTCTCCCAGATCACCTTCCAGCTGAGGCACATCCTGAAGGCTCGCTGTGACCCCGTCCCTGCTGCCAACGGCGCCATCCGCTTCCACTGTGACCCCACCTTCTGGGCCAAGAACGTGGTCAATCTGGGTGAGCAACCCTGCTTGTTTCATCTCTGATAGTGGGAAAACTCCCTTGAACTGAGGATATTCATCCAACAGGAGTGAGTGCAGTGTCTCTGAATGCAGGAGGCAAAACCTCAACCATAAAGTCTCATAACCCATCCAGCCCTGATTATTCTCCTTATCTGCTCTGTTCTTTCTTTTAGCAGAGCTTTCTCTAAATGGATGTTGTGTTCCAGGATGCAGTGGATATTGTACTGGGATTGGTTCTAGGAATGGCCCTAATCACAGAATCACAGAGTGGTTTGGGTTGAAAAGGACCTTAAAAGTCATCTCACTGCACCCCCTGCCATGGCCAGGGACACCTTCCACTGTCCCAGCTGCTCCAAACCCTGTCCCAGCTGGCCTTGGACACTTCCAGGGATTGGGGCATCCACAGCATCTCTGGATTTCACACTGGTTCCGTGCCATTTCCACTTACAGTTTGCAAAGTACAAATTTGGAATGAGAGAAGAAGACGGAGCACAGTGACACAAAGATACCTGTTAGCACCTGCTTGTGAACTTCTCAGTTGAATAAAAATTTCATAAAAAAAATCTGATCAAAATATCAGTTTTTGGGTGTGCTCACTTCTTGCTCTGTGTCCACCATCCAGGTTGGGGTGTTCCTGTCTTCAGCCAAGAGTGTTTATTCTCTGGGGCAGAAAGGAAACTGCCAACCTGCATAAAAAGGGACATTCAGATTCTACTGAGTGCACATTCACAAATTAATTTAAAAACCAACATTTTACCTTTCCATATAAAAATAGGACAGGAGTTACCTGAAGAGGCAGCCTGGTCCATGACACTGGAGCCAGACAGGACTTGCTTGTAGCAGTTTTTGGTGGTGTGTTTGTAGAACCTGTTTGAGGTCACTCAGTGGTTGGACACTCAGATATCTCTTCCCAGGCTCTGCTTCTTTATACATAGAAATTTTGTGCTCAAAATGTTTGTTTTCTGTTTTATTTCTCATCTTGTCCATTTCTTGTGAAAGCAGAGAAGTCATTTCTGTCTGTTATGGCTTTTAGGCTGTGCAGTTCCAGTTCTTTAACTCTTCCCTCACAGATCATATTTTTAATTTTGCTGTCTGTTCTTGTAGTCCGAGTTCTCTTTTTGCTTTTATCATGTATAGTTATTGAAGACACAAAGAACTTAAATTTTAATTTTTTAAAATGATATCTAATTTTTAAATTTAAATTTTTAAGCTTTCAAGCTTAAATTGCTCTGAGAAAACTGCATAGAAACATCAGAATCTTCCACATAAGTCAGCCTGTGAAGGATGATGAGATCTAACTGTTGATTGCTTCTTTGGCTTTTTGTAGGTAACCTGGTCATAGAAAATAAACCAACCCCTAGTTACACTCCCAATGTAGTGGTTGGGCAAACTCCTCCAGGAACAAACCACGTCAACAAAGCTCCAGGACAGATCAACCTGGCCCAGCTTCGCCTGCAGCACATGCAGCAGCAGGTGTATGCCCAGAAGCACCAGCAGCTGCAGCAGATGAGGATGGCCCAGCCTTCCTCTGCCTCTGTGCCCAGGCAGAGCAGCCCCCAGGTCCTGCAGCAGCAGGTGAGTCCTTTGTGTGTTCTTAATTCACCTTCTTGCGCTTTATTTCATCCTAACACCGAGATTTAAAATTGCCCTGTCAGATCTAAACTTACAAAGCCATTTGTAGGCTAAAATCTTCTGAGATTTGAGATACTTTAATGTGACAGCTCTTTGCTTTGCTTGATGTTATGTTGCTGCTGCTGTGGAAAGAGATGGGCTTCTTTTCTCCATGATAAAAGCACAAATTTTAAAAAACCCAAACCCTTGCAGCCTCCCAGGTTGATCAGCATGCAGACCATGCAGAGGGGTAACATGAACTGTGGGGCTTTCCAAGCACACCAGATGAGAATGGCTCAGAATGCTGCTCGTATTCCAGGAATCCCACGCCACAATGGACCTCAGTACTCCATGATGCAACCTCACCTTCAAAGACAAGTATATCCTGTGTACATGCTTCATTGTGCCATTGTGCCAGCCTTTCATTCCAGCTCTAAATGTGTTTATCTGTCCCCTGTAGCTCACAGCTACACACATTTATATGCTTCTTTGCCATGTTGCATTACTGTGCTGTGACAGTTTTGCTGAATGTAAGGAAATTCAAACCTTAGGGGTGGAAATGAAATTAAATGCAATGTTTGTGTTGCAGCTTAGTTCTGGGAAGTAAAATGTTTCTTTTTTCACTTTTCAGCTGAAAAGAACATTCAGAGGTTTATTAGGGAATAGTGAGGAGTAGTGGAGTTCAGAGTGATGGAGTTGAGGGGTTTTGATGAAATCAGCTGCTGAAGTGGTTTTAAATTCACACCTGAAGCATTGGTGCAGAGCTCTGCATGCCATTAAGAATAAAAATGCTTGACAATGCATGTTAATGTGACTGAAATACCAAAAGTGAAACAGTTAAAGAAAAAATTAGATGTGAACTCTCAAGCTATCTTTGGAGGAAGTAACTGCTTTAAGAAAACACCACTGTATACTTGGTGGGAGAAGTGCTGTGTGTTTAAAATGGAGCCACATCAGGCATCTTTGCTGTCCGAGTGAGGAAGAGGAGCAGTTTCCCTGCCCTCGGTGCTGTGCTCGGGTTCAGGTCTGTGTGAGGGCAGTGGCAGCTGCGGTGGCCCCGTGCCCAGCGCGGTGTCTGTGTCTCCCCAGCACTCCAACCCCGGCCACGCCGGGCCCTTCCCGGTGGTCTCAGTGCACAACACCACCATCAACCCCACCAGCCCCACCACGGCCACCATGGCCAGCGCCAACCGCGGCCCCACCAGCCCGTCCGTGTCGGCCATCGAGCTCATCCCGTCCGTCACCAACCCGGAGAACCTGCCCTCGCTGCCAGACATCCCCCCCATCCAGGTCAGTGCTGCTCCTCCTGCTCTGCTTTTGCGCTTGGGTACCAGGACTTGGCCATGCAATGGTGTAAAGTTGTAGAATTCAAACTCATTTCACCTTAAAATATTGCAAAAGTTGTTCTCTGTCACCAACATGGAGAACCTGCCCTTGCTGCTAGACATCCTCCCCCATATCCAGGTCAGTGCTGCTCCTTCTGCTCTGGTTTTGTAGTTGGGTACCAGGATTTGGCCATGGAATGGTGTAAAGTTGTAGATTTTGAACTCATTTAATCTCTAAAGTAGTGCAAAAATTCTCCATCACCAACCCGGAGAACCTGCGCTCCCTGCAGGACATCTCCCTCCATCCAAGTCAGTGCTGCTCCTCCTGCTGTGGTTCTATAGTTGTGTACCAGGATTTGGCCATGCAATGGTGTAAAGGTGTAGAATTCAAGCTCATTTCATCTCTAAAATATTGCAAAAATTCTCCATCACCACCCCAGAAAACCCTGCCCTAGACATCCCCCCCATCCAGGTCAGTGCTCCTCCTGCTCTGGTTCTCTAGTTGGGTACCAGGACTTGGCCATGGAATGGTATAATTAGAATTTAAATTTGGCCAATAGTAGTTGGCCATGGAATGGTGTAATTAGCCTTTAAAGGTGTAGAATTCAAACTCATTTCACCTCTAAAATAGTGCAAAAAGTTCTCCAATATTGCAAAAAGTTCTCCATCGCCAACCTGGTGAACCTGCCCTCCCTGCAGGACATCTCCCCCATCCAGGTCAGTGCTGCTGCTCCTGCTCTGGTTTGTGGTACCAGGATTTGGTCATGGAATACTGTAATTAGCATTTAAAGTTGGCCATGGAATACTGTAATTAGCATTTAAAGTTGTAGAATTAAAATCTTCAGCCTTTCCTTTAGGCATGCATGTAGGGCTGACCTGCTCCACCTGGTAAGTTTTAGATTAATCAGTATTTAATGAGTCCTGTAGTCCTGCTCCACTCAGCTGCTCTGGTTTTATAGTTGGGTGTCAGGATTTGGCCATGGAATGATGGAGTTAGCATTTAAAGTTGTAGAATTCAAACTCATTTCATCTCTAAAATATTGCAAAAAGTTCTCCATCACCAGTCCAGAGAACCTGCCCTCCCTGAAGGACATCTCTCCCATCCAGGTCAATGCTGCTCCTCCTTCTCTGGTTTTGTGGTTAGGTACCAGGATTTGGTCATGGAATTCTGTAATTAGCATTTAAAGCTGTAGAATTAAAATCTTCAGCCTTTCTCTTAGGCATGCAGCTGGTTTATCCATGTAGGGCTGACCTGCTCTACCTGGTAACCTTTAAATTAATCAATATTTAATGTATCCTGTAGTCCTGCAGTGCTGCTCCCCTCAGCTGCTCTGGTTCTATAGTTGGGTTCCAGGATATGGTTATGGAATTGTGTAATTAGCATTTAAAATTGTACAATTCAAACTCAGTTCACCTCTAAAATATTGCAAAAAGTTGTCCAAGCCCGGGAGTAAAATGGGAATTTTACTCCATGGCATCCACAGAGTTCTGGTTGTGTGGAGAGGATGAATCAAACTCTTCAAAGAGCTTTAGTTAAGCTGATGGTTGAAACCCAGATGTGATGGATCAAATGTCTCCCTTTAGGCTTGTTAAGAATCAGAACCCAGCTCTGGGGTCTCACCCAGGAATATTTGGGTCACCCCTCCTGACCTTGCCCCAGAAGTTTTCCACCTATGAGGAAGTAGAAGCCAATGCCAAAAATATTTTATGTCTTTTGCACAAAGCTTAGAAGGACCTGATCCACCTGGTAACCTTTAGATTAATCATTTTTTAATGTATCCTGTAGTAAAATTTACACTTTAATTAATCCCAAATCTGTGTTCACTTCCTTTCTTCCACGAGACCATCTTGTGGGAAGATGGAATAATTAATGGTGATGTATTTTGAGTGCCCTGAATGGTGATTTATTCAGGATTAAAGGTGTCTGGAGTTTCTCTTGGATGTTCCTAGAAGGAAGCACAGAGGGGACATGTCCCATTGTCCCACAGAGAGGGGAAAAGCACAATTTAATGTACATGTGGAGGCAAATAAAATAAAAGAAATGTGTTTTCTGCAGGGAGGGGAGGAGGATAATGGCTTCATCCTGAGAACAGGACCTTGGCATTGAAATGTCCCTGTAAAACCCAGGAGATTTGGTCACCATACAGGAAACAAAATAAATTTCATCCAAGATGATCTGCTGGAATATCAGCTGCAACTTTGCAACTCTTAAATGTTCAGGGCTGGTGTGTTCAGTGTTCTCAGGAGGCTGCAGGTCATTTTTAATGTGAGAATGGTGGGAAGGAGGAATCCCATCTCAGCCTGCAGTGCTGAGGCTTTAGGACAAAACATTACCATGCAACTTCCAGGTGCACTGAAAATGCAGAATTCTGCTGAGATATTCTTCTTTTTATACCTGTTCCTGCAATAGCTGTTATGGATTTTAGTTGGGTTCAGTGGATAGGAGGTGTTAGTCCTTCAGGCTGCTGGCACAGTCATTAAAACCCCCTTGGAATGCAGTGTGTTTCCAACACATTCTTGAATTTAACACATTTAAGCAGTTACAACAACAAGGTCCCTGTTTCCTTGGGTTTAACAAGTGCAAAAATCTGTTTGAAAAGTGAGTGGGAGATTTCCCATCATGATAAGGAAAGACAAGATTATGGCCTCCCTTAATATCTTAATTATGGAATAACTTCTGCAGCCTCAGAAATCTGGTATTTCATGACTAACACAGCTCCATGTGTGTGACTGACACACTGAGCAGAAAGTTTGCAGTGACCCTGTGTAAGTACAGCCCAGGATCATACTGGAAAAAAACCTCAAATTTAGGAGCTTTTGAAAAATATCACTTGTTTGAAAGCCTGATTTCTGCATGAAACTGATAAAAATATTTGCTGATTTCCTGAATCCTTGAAGGGAGAGGGAACAATTTCAGTAATCACAATTTAAAGGTGTGAATGTGACCTCTCTGATTCAGGTTTTTGTTTTTCCTCCTCAGCTGGAAGATGCTGGTTCCAGTAGTTTAGATAATCTGCTCAGTAGGTACATCACAGGCAGCCACCTCCCCCCACAGCCCACCAGCACCATGAACCCCTCCCCAGGACCTTCAGCTCTGTCTCCAGGGTCATCAGGTAAATCTGATGGGTTTTTCTAGTTATTCCAGAATGTGATGGTTATTTCTGGGTGTTTTAAGTTGAAAATAATTGCATAGCATTTCCTGCCCAGAAGGGAAGCAATGTTCTATTTCAAATTTGTTTTGCTCAGAAATAGATTCTTCCAGAAATTTAAATTTTACCTTCCTTTAGAGATGTCTTTATAGTAACAAACTGCCAGCACATGGATGCAGTATTCCATATATATATATATATATTTTTTTTTTTTGTATATATTTTTGTATATTTATATGTATCCATATAGAGACACTGTCAGGGGGCTTTCTGTGTTTCTCCAAACCTGCATGCAAACCATGCAGAGGCTGCTTTTTTGACATTATTAGTGGCTCTCAGTGCATAAAATTTGAGGATGTAATGGTCTGAAGGCTTTAGCACTGTTTGGATTAGGTGAAATAATTATTGGGGGGCTTTAACAACTGGGTGTTGTCACTTTTTATTGAATGTGATGTGCTGGATTTGTTGTGATCACAAGACTGAGAACAGCTGGCTTAGGTGACGTGGGAAATGGGGATATTCCTGCAGCATTTCTGGGGTTACCCAGCACCAGTCAGTGAATGTAAATTTGTGCCAAATCAGTTCTGTGCTGCTTCTTTGCAGGTTTGTCCAACTCCCACACTCCTGTGAGGCCCCCCAGCACCTCCAGCACAGGCAGCAGAGGAAGGTGAGTGTCACACCAACAATGTCAGCCTAAAAAAATCAGACATGAATAATTCCAAAAAAGGCTTGGCAGTTGGCAAATTGTGCTTTGTCATAACTGTGACTGAGGAATAGAAAAATACTTACATGAGGATTTATATTCTAAATTGTTTTTCCTGCACTTCTTTAAATGTGCTGCCACCCTTTGCCTTTCTTTTGGGAAACAGTCACCTGAATTTCTTTGCCCTGTTGATTTATCCTGTTATTTATCTGGTGATGTGCTGATGTCTCTGCAGCTGTGGCTCCTCAGGCAGGACTGCTGACAAAACTGGCATTGGCTTCAAGGCTGACCAGGTGAAAGTAAAGCAAGAGCCAGGCACAGAGGAAGAGATCTGCAGCTTCTCAGGAACAGTAAAGCAGGAAAAAACAGAGGATGGCAGAAGGAGTGCTTGCATGGTAAAGTTAGTTTGTGCTCAGTGTTTTCCTGGCAGCAGTTTAAGAATTTAGAAAGGAAAAAAAGAAAAAAAGCATTTTTACTCTGAAGCTTTATTCTAAGAGGTATTTTCTCCTTGGTAATGCTCTGCCAGGCACAGAGTGGCCTGTAATGTAAATATTACCTTTAATGATTGAAATGAAGTGTAATAGAGTGTATTTCCTGCTTTTAATCCCTAATTATTAAAAGCTGTGAGTCACCCACTGATAGTAGACACTCCCATATAAGTCATTGCATTCAGGAAACCTCTAGTCAATCAGAAGTTCTTAAAGTATAAATCAAATAATTAGCAAATAATCTTTTTCAGTGTTTCCCAGCTATGCTTGATTGAACAGGATTGTGTACAGGGAGCAGGGTGGTGGAGTTGAGGATTTTTCCTAATGACAATCAAGCTGTCATTAACAGCTTTTAATGACTCAGTGTGTTTGGCTTGTTATAGCATTTCTCTTGTTATGTATCAGAAGAAATGAGTGTTCTACAAAGAAAGGACATGTGGAAAAAAAGCAAATTTCAATACTGTGTGCAGCTCAGCTGTTCCTCGTGGTTTTTGGGATGTGAGCATGGTGCCTTTGAATGGTGGGAGGATTTTGAAGATCCTGCAATAAAATCAACTCTGATTTCCCACGTGCCGCTTTCATTGCAGCTCAGCAGCCCCGAGAGCAGCTTGACACCACCACTATCCACTAACCTCCACCTGGAGAGTGAGCTGGAGGCTTTGGGCAGCCTGGAGAACCACGTGAAGACAGAGCCAGCAGATGTGGGCGAGAGCTGCAAGCAGCCTGGGCACGGCCTGGTGAACGGGAAGTCGCCGGCGCGCAGCCTCATGCACCGCTCGGCCCGCGCGCCCGGGGAGGGCAGCAACAAGGACGACGACCCCAACGAGGACTGGTGTGCTGTGTGCCAGAACGGGGGCGACCTGCTGTGCTGTGAGAAGTGCCCCAAGGTGTTCCACCTCACCTGCCACGTGCCCACGCTGCTCAGCTTCCCCAGGTACCCACGGCAGCGTCACGGGGTGGGCACGGAACCCAAAGGGCTGTTGCCTCCAAAATCTCTCCAAAACCACCCAAAGTGGTTTCTTATACTACAACAATATCATATCCTTATACTACAAAAATATGATATTTCCAAGGCCTTGCCTGAGTTATTTATGTGTAGCTCCTGTCAGGAGCCAGCACATCCCTCTGGCTGTCCTGAGCAGCCAAGACCCCTGCCAGGGATCTCACAAGTCCTGAGCCCAAAATGCCCCTGTGGGTTTGGTTATGACCCATGGAGCAAATTACCAACCGTAGATGAAGATCTGCAAGCCATGACAAATTAAGTAGAATAATAGTGAAGTTATCACAAGGTGAAAAAGTAAAATTTTGGGGTTTTTAGAATGGGGATTCAGGAGGCAAGATGGAGGGATCTGGATGTGTCCAGCCTTTCTCCTTCTCCTTGTTCTCCATCTTCTGCTGTGATGGTGGCACTTTTGGATTGGTTTAGAGTAGAAGCTCACTGTCTAACATAGGTGATAGGTATTGGGAAGTAATTGTAAATATTGTACATGTAGTTTTTAGTATAAAAAGATAACACTGCCCCGGGGGCAGGCAGAGTGCCTGGACTGTCTTGCTGAGCTCACCTTGGCTGGACAGGAGAAAGAATTTTATAGATAAAACACAATAAACAACATTGAGACTGAGGAATTAAGGGCTCTGACTCTTTCTTCAAGCACCAGGCTGGGAAAAGAGACTTTCCAACTTTTCTCTGACCTGCTAGAGATCCCCACAGCTGATCAGTGTTTATCTGATAACAGAATCCTGTTCTGTTTATCTGTTTGTGTAAAGTCCCACAATGCGATTCTGGTGTGTAAAGTTGATTTTAAGGCAAGGTGAGAAGGGTGTACTGTAAAGTTAATACTTTATAAAGTGTTAAAGCATCATATGAGGGCAGGAAAAATGGCCTTGACTTGCAGAATTATTGTGAGCATTAAGGGTCAGTCCTTGGCTGTGGGTATCCAAGTCTTCACTGCAGTAGAATGTGAATCTTTAAGAGTGAATTAAAACTATTTGTAGTCGTCCCTGATGAGAATTTATCCCTGGATGTGTGCAATAATTGTGTTTTTCTCTTTAGTGGAGAGTGGATCTGTACATTCTGCAGAGACCTCAGCAAACCTGAAGTGGAATATGATTGTGACAATTCCCAGCACAGCAAGAAGGGCAAGACAGCACAAGGCCTGAGTCCTGTGGACCAAAGGGTGGGTGTCAGACCTGCAGGAATCTGCTTCCCAGGAAAAAGCTCTCTCACATCAGCTCCCCCTCACTGACTGGAGATGGCTTTCCTTTGGCTGAAGCAAATTAAATGTAGTTATGGCTTTGCAAAAGAACCCAAATGAGATTTTTCCTGCTGTGGCCACATCTCCAGGTGTTGGTGACTGTGGGAGTGTCCCAGTGCCGTGGGACTGTAATCACTGAGGAGCTAAAATCCAGCATGAACACAGATTCTGTATTTAAATGCATCATTGAACATGCACTTGATTAAAAGTCCTTTGCATTAGGCATTGGTGTCATCTCCATAAAATATTTCTGGGAGCTTGGTGTGTTAAGTGCATTCTGTGAGAGGTGCTGGGAGTGTTCAGGTGCATTCTTGGGGAATTTTAATGATTTTGACAATCACAATTATTTTGAGCTTTATTAATCAGCCTCTGTGTAGTGTTAGGAGTATCATCAAATCAAATTCCTCTAAAGGAATTAAAAGCAAAGCAAGAAAAAATATTTCAATACGGATTTTATAGAAACACTGGCTCTGCTTTCAGATTGTTCAGTTTTGTCTTGTGGGGAAAAGTCTGCAGCTCAGTCCTTTCCTGTTACATGTGGTTGTCATTGGACAAAAGCAGTAAAAGTGGTTGTAGTTGGTATTTTATATTAAAATTTGCAGTATATTAGCATGTCTCTCCATGCTTGTCTTCAGCCCTAAACTTTTGGTTAGGAAGGAGAAAACAAAGAGGAAATTTGTGAAAAGTGAATGGGGTTCTGCCTCTCAACTCTGCCCTAAGAACTTTATCATTTCTAATTAAGTTGAGGGGGTTACATTTAAATTTTCTACTATGCTGTTAAATTAGAAGCCTGTTAAGCCTGTTTAAAGTATGGATGTATGAATTTCTGGGCTAGAGATAAATGAAGAATATTAATCTGACCCTGTTTGTTTCTTTCTCAGAAATGTGAACGCCTCCTGCTTTACCTGTACTGCCACGAGCTGAGCATTGAGTTCCAGGAGCCAGTCCCAGCCTCGGTGAGTGTCCTGCAGAACCCTTGGGGAATTCTGTGTGGGGTAACAGAAATGAGAGTCTGGAGCTGGATTTGGGATCAGTCTGAAAGTTCTGGCAGCCCTCCAGCATTTTGTGGGGCTGAGAGGGAGAGCAGCTGATTCTGGAGCTGCTCCAGGCAGATGCTTCACTGCCAGTCTCAAACCCAGATATTTAAAAAATACTTGCAATTAGCAGTTATTGAATTGGAACAAGTTGTCTCAGGCTGCCCATGAAACTCAAAATGGTTTAGGAGGGCTTTTTGGACAAATTTGTGAAGGAGAGGAGGGAATAAACTGCTTTGACTCTTGTGTTTTCAGCTGTAAAATCAGTAAGTAATGAAAAGCTTTGTGGTGCTGTGAGAGACACTGAAGGTTAGAGAGAATCCCAGAGTGGTTTGGGTTGGAAAGAACCTTAAAGCTCCTCCAATCCCACCCCTGCCATGGCAGGGACACTTCCACTGTCCCAGGGTGCTCCCAGCCCTGCCCAGCCTGGCCTTGGGCACTGCCAGGGATCAGGGGCAGCCACAGCTGTGCCAGGGCCTCAGAACCCTCACAGGGAAGGATTTTACCCCAATATCCAATCTAAATCTACCCCCCTTCAATTTAAAACCAGTCCCCCTTGTCCTGTCACTCCATGCTCTTATAAAATAACTTTTAAAAGTTCAGTTTGAGGAAAGAAAATTAGGAAATTGTTCTGCTTTGCTGAATGTGCCTGAAGTGAGATAAGGGATTGACACCTTCAGTGTGGAAATTCAGCTGTGAGCTCTGCAGCCATTCAGTGCTAAATCACTGTTGGTTTTTTCCAGATACCAAACTATTATAAAATCATAAAGAAACCCATGGATTTATCCACGGTGAAGAAGAAACTGCAGAAGAAACATTCCCAACACTACCAGACCCCCGAGGACTTCGTGGCCGACGTGCGGCTGATCTTCAAGAACTGTGAAAGGTTTAATGAAGTATGTTAACTTCCAATCTGAGCACCATCTGTCCTTTAAATGGAAATTTATTTCAACCTGGTTGTGCAGCTTCTCCCATGAAAAGCTCTGCTTCCAGCTGTAACTTCTGCTTTTGGAGCAGATGCTGAATCAGATACTTGAAAACCAAACCAAACTCAAGGCAATTGCAGAGTAACTTCTCATTTTTAATGAAATTGGGAGAGCAGAGGGAACTATTGAAATGCATTCAGTGGTCTCTGTGAATGAGGAGCAGGGTGACCTGGTTGCTGTGCAGCAGATTGATTGTAGAAGTGCTTAGGAAGTGCCATAAAGACAACCAAAGAGTCTTTAAAAATGTCTCAAGCTGCCCAGGTAATTGGTTTACACTCATGGAACAGTGGATAATCCACTGAGAAACTTCCTCTACTGGGGAGAAATCTGCCTTTCTGAAGTTATTCTGGTTTTAGTACCTCACATAAATGAATCCAATAAAGCTTTGTGGCCCTTATGGCTCTTATTAACCTTCCTGCTTGAACCCCTTAGTGGTTGGGCTCTCACAAAAATCAGTTTTCAGTGAATAATTTGGGTATGGGGTCATATTTTTTACAAATTTTGCAGTGATCCCATCTGATAATGAAATATCCTTTACACCTGAAATGTGACTTGGGGAGATAAATGACCTGAATGTTACTGAGCAATGGGAAAATAATCTGAATATAAATTAAAAAAAGGTGATACTGGGCTGAAACTGAGTAGGAGCTAAGGGGGTTCCCAATTTTTGAGATGCTTTAAAGCAAGAATGACAAAAGGCATCACAGGGAATGGCTTTATTCTGACTTAAAATGCAGAAAGCAGCCAGTATTTCTTATTTCTCTGCAAAATGTAGCCAATATTTCTTATTTCTCTGCAAAATGTAACCTGGACTTGCAGTGTTTGGGCTCCATTTGTGGCCCTGTGCAGAAGGAAACTGAAGGAACTGCACAAAGCTGCAATTAAAACCTCCCTAGGAAAAATCAGGGTCAATGATGTGATGCTGGAACTGCTCACAAGCATTTGGGATTTTGACAGCCCTGACTCCTTTATGTCCCTGCATTAGAGGAGGTTCATGAGGTAATTTAATTATGTGAACTTCTCAATCAGGGGAATTAATGAAGCATCCACTCTAGAGGAAAACATGCTGCAGCTCTTAGAGACCAGAGTACAACAAGGGAGGAAGGACTGAAGGATGTGGTGATTTTTTAACTTTTTTTAAAAAGAAAAATAAATGTGTTTCAGCTTGCCTGGCTCATGGCAAAAGTTGGGTCACTCTGACCTCTCACAGCAGCATCATGTCGAGTGCCTCTAAGCCAAAAGCTTTTCCAAAGCAGAAATCCCAGTGGGGTAATGCCCAGGAAATCTCCTGGAGCTCCTCCCTTCAAGGAGAATTCCCCACAACCATGCCCAGGCATTTCCAGTTTATTGTGAGGAAAGCAGTGATGAGTGGAAAATGGCTGGGAGCCACTTGTACAAAAGTTGTGTGTTCTGTTGAAGGTTTATTTAGCACCTAAGACTGTTTTAAACCTGCTGCCTAAGTTTGGGAACTAAAGCTAACAAACCATAACAAACTGTCTCGTTGTTATGGCTGACTTTAGTCATCCAATCCTGTGCGATCTCGTAACTTTTAGAAAGGATTATAATTTCATTTTTTTTGACTCTGGTATCCTTTTTAGATGATGAAAGTTGTTCAAGTTTATGCAGAAACACAAGAGATTAATTTGAAGGTAAGCGTTTCAGACCATGCACACTTGGTGAAGGGATGTGCATTTCCAACAGGTGAATATTCCTGTCTTCTTTCATCCACAGGCTGATTCAGAAGTAGCACAGGCAGGGAAGGCAGTTGCATTGTACTTTGAAGATAAACTTACAGAGATCTACTCAGACAGGACCTTCCAGCCTTTGCCTGAATTTGAGCAGGAAGAGGATGATGGTGAAATAACTGAGGACTCCGATGAAGATTTTATACAACCACGTAGAAAACGCCTAAAATCAGATGAGAGACCAGTGCATATAAAGTAATCTAATGATATGGACCTAAAATTTATTGTAAAAACTGTTATTTAAGTGTTCCTGGAATATTATCATGCCTACAGTGGCCATCTTGCAGAAGCTGATAGCTTTTTAAACAGTATTAGATAACAAAAAACACTTGTACAGAAAAACATTCGCATCAAAAGGGGAAAAAAACCTGTATTGTAAATTTTTGGTGGTTTGTATTTTTTTTTTCCTTGATTACTTGCTATATTCTTTCTTTTCCTGCTGGAGGGGACACACTCATGCTGGTCTCACAGACAGAGGTGGAGGAATGTTGAAGAGAAGCAGATTTGATAGGAGATGTTCCCTGTACAGATAAGCCTGTAGTGACACGACCTGCAGGACTGGACCCACTCAGTGACTGTGTCTTGCATTCCACTGCAGTGTAAACTGTGAGCAGAGCTCCTGAAATCCCCTCTGTGTCCACTCAAGTGTGTGTTGGTCGTTGCTTTGATCATCTCATTGAAGCAGGACTGTGAATAACTGATCTTCTGTGTCCATCCAAGTGTTGACATTTTTGCTTTCTTTACTCCATTTCATGTATAGCGAAAGGCAGAAGAAAGAAAAATCATTAAACTGTTCTGAATGGGCGAGTGCAGGAATGGGAGGCAGATGAAAGGCTAAGCTGGTGGCTCCAACCCCTCTGAGTAGGACAAGGTGTATTTATTAAACTCCTGTACCCAGAACATTTTAATGGCATCCATGGCAGAAGTCTCAGCGTTGTCATCTGTCCCTGACCCCCTGACGAGGCAGAATGTTCTCTCCAGTGTTCATTCTCTGCTTTTCTGTACTTAAAATATAGACTGAAGAGGTAATAACTGGTTGGGGTGTTTTTCCAGTCTTCCTAAATATCAGTTTCTAATAGACCACTCGGCAAACAATAACCTATTAACTACCAAATGTGTAAAATTTCCTGTATTCACTTTGTCTTATTTGTAAATAGTGAATTGAGATTTCTTGCAGCTCAGCAACATTTGCTGAACTGTTTTTAAGCTAATATGTATTCTTATTGATTGTTCCTATCAAGAAAAGATTTGTAATATATGCTATTTCTAACATTGCATTCATTTTGAGGTTCTGTCTTATTTTTCTTAGAGTACTTCTCAGAACTTTCTTCAGAAGCAGCTTGTGAGGGAAATGTGCAGGAAGATTGGAATCAGTCTGAGTTTGGGTTGCCTGTCCATCCATTGAACAAAGCACTTGCACAGGGTTTGGCCTTGAGTGGTTTTTGGTCAGAAAGTGAGAACTGAACAATTTCCCAATTCCTCAGTAACCCCTGGGGCACCTCTGCAGTGCCTTCCCTTGCATTGCCTCCATCCCAGCATTCCTGGTTAGAAATCATGGAATCACAAGGAGTTACAGCTCCAGGAGTTGTTTTCTTTGCTGACACAAGTCAGTCCTAGAAATAAATACAATTTCTGGCCTTCAGATTGATCTTGTTAAAGGAAGTTGAAGAATTCATGGAACCAATGAGCTCAGGATGGCAGACTCTGAGTTTGCCATGGTTTGTGTGGATCCAGCAATTCTGTGGGAGATCCCTGGGGGTTTGGTGTGCTCAGCACAACAATTCCTGTGACACTGTCCACGCTTTACCAGCATGGTAAAGAGAAATATTTTAGCACAATATCAAATGGAGAAATGCTCTCAGCAGTTTTTATGCAAATCACTGCAGATTTGGTTTCTTTTGTAAGAACCAGGTCTGTGTACCTTGGGATTCTCCCTCTTGCAATAAATGAGGGGACTGAAGGTTTTCTAACTTCCAGCTCACTTCTTCACTCAAATGTTACACTTCAAACTCAAACTGGTTGTTTTTTTAAATTTCTTAGACATGAACAGTGCTGTTTTAAGTTTATTTTTTACCAGTTTGTATGTGAAAGGAAAAGGAATTCCACTTCAACATATTAAATTGACAAAGAGCAACAACTTTGCCTGTGGAAAAGCTGATGTGTGAATAGGACACTGGTAGTGACAAGGGATCATTTCATGGCTCTGTGTATTGCCTATTTATGCATTTCTAGTTTCTCAGCTTCATTTTGCAAAAGGAATATTATTAAAATTATCATGAAAATAAGATTCTGTGAGCTCTCTTCACTCGGGCCTCCTGTTTTTTTTGTGGCACTTTGGTACCTTCAGGCCTCACCTTTTGAGCTTTTCCCTGGGCAGCAGCTGGGGATTGGATCCTGCAGAGACCCTGGGGATGAGCCAGAGTGTGGGGTGGGCATGGGGGATCCCAGATGGAGTCAGGGGGTCCCAGATGGAGCTCACGGGGTCCCAGCATAGGACAGGGGCATCCCAGGTGGTGCTCAGGGGATCCCAGCAGAGTTCAGGGGATCCCAGCATAGGACAGGGGCATCCCAGGTGGAGTTCAGAGGATTCCAGCAGAGTTCAGGGGATCCCCAGATGGAGTTCAGGAATTCCCAGCATAGGACAGGGGGATCCCAGCAGAGCTCAGGGGATTCCAGATGGAGTTCAGGGAGTCCCAGCAGAGCTCAAGGGATCCTGTCATAGGACAGGGGGATCCCAGCTGGAGTTAAGGGGATCCCATATGGAGTTCAGGGGATCCCAGCATAGGACAGGGGGATCCCAGATGGAGCCCAGGGGATCCCAGCAGAGCTCAAGGGATCCTGTCATAGGACAGGGGCATCCCAGGTGGTGCTCAGGGGATCCCAGCTGGAGTTAAGGGGATCCCATATGGAGTTCAGGGGATCCCAGCAGAGTTCAGGGGATCCTGGGTGCAGCCCAGGGGATCCCAGGTGCATCCCAAGGAATCCCAGAAGAGCTCAGGACATCCCAGCAGAGCACAGGGGGATCCCAGATGGAACCCAGGGGATCCCAGCAGAGCTCAAGGGATCCTATAATAGGACAGGGGGATTCCAGGTGGACTTCTGGGGGATCTCAGCAGAGCTCAGGGGCTCCCATATGGAGTTCAGGGGATCCCAGGTGCAGCCCAAGGAATCCCAGAAGAGCGCAGGGGAGCTCAGCATAGGACAGGGGGATCTCAGATGGAACTCAGGGGATCCCAGTGGAGCTCAAGGGATCCTATAATAGGACAGGGGGACCCCAGGTGGAGCCCAGGGGATCCCATATGGAGTTCAGGGGATCCCAGCAGAGTTCAGGGGATCCTGGGTGCAGCCCAAGGGATCCCAGCAGAGCTCAGGACATCCCAGCATAGCACAGGGAGATCCCAGATGGAGCCCAGGTGGAGTTCAGGGGATCCCAAATGGAGCACAGTGGGAAGGACCCCAAACCCTCCAGAGAAACTCAGTGTCTCCCTGGCTGCTGCAGGAGCTCTGCTCCCCACCCGGAGCCCAGAGCAGTTCCCAGTGTTCTGGGACAGCCTTTCCTTTGAGGTGGCCTCTCCAACACTTCACTGCAGGAGGAGAACTTGGCCAGCCCGTGCTCAGCATCTTCTGCACGCCAGGGGTGCAGCTGGGCTGGGCCTTGCTGGGCCTGAGCTCTTCCCTTGCACCCTCCAGAGCTGCTCCTCCCACCCATCCCCAGTGCTCAGCAGGATTATGTGGAATTTTGAATGTGTGCAAGAAATCTCAAGTGTTTCCTTTATACCAGGAAAACAAAACATTCTCTCCTCCTCCTTCTTCTTCCCCTTCATTTTTGAACTCCCAAAGCAGCAATTCAGTGATTGTTTTGAAAGCAGCAAAGTTCTATTTGAAATTATTTCAAAGATAAACTCTGCTAATCCCTTCCCTGGTCCTGTAAGATGGGTGTTCATCACAGAACTGGGAAGGGTTTGCTCAGTGGGAATAATTTTTGGTGTAACTCATTAGTGAGTTTGTATTAATGAGCCACATTAATTTTCTGGGCATCTTCTCCATGCCAGCTGCTGGGTGTGCAGTGTGTGAATGGGAAATCAGAGCACAGATTACATCAGGAAATCTGTAAAATTGGGGTGGCAGGAGGAATCTGGCACTTGGTGCAACTCTGCCCTCATTTAAAATACTCCCAAAAATTTGTCTCCGTTTTGGCTGAGAATTTTTGTTGTCCCTCAAGTTTTAAGTGAATCCAAAGAAGGAAAAGGCAGTTTGAAATGAGAGTGCAAAGTGCCCAGTGTGAGCAGCTGTCCTGCCATGGATTCCTGGTGATGAGGGGAAATTCAACAGCTCAGTGGGCTCAGGGCTTTTATTTTGCTGTGCCCTGGAATGAAGTGGCCTAGAGCACAATAAGGCAGAGCTGTAATTGATAAAAAGGGGATTTCTCCAACTTGTGCAAACAAAAATGCTCAGTTCAGTGTGGAGAGGTTGTTCCTCACTGGGGGATGTCACTGTGACACTTCACTGTGACACTCTTCATGCTGGATCAAACAAGTCACTGGAAAAGTCCCTAAAATGAGCCCAAATTTCTGGTTTATCACCTGGTTTTGGCTGACATGGAATAGTTTAGGTTATTGCAGCAGTATTTTAAATCTGTTTGTGTGGTGTACTGGGAATTGGCTTTTCCCAGTTGGCTTTTCCTTGTTTTTCTCACTCTCTTCCTCAGAAAAAAGCAATAAAACTGCTTTGTCGTTTGCCTGTCAGCATGACAGGAATCCTCTCCTTAGGATAACGATTTTATAGGGAAGTTTGTATGCAAATCACCAAGCCTAGCTTTTAAAAACAAAGTCTGCAGCAGTTCCTGACAATATAGAGTGTGGCATTTTATTTTAAAAAGTTGGGGAAAGTTCCATATTTTTTTAAGAAGTAGCTGTTTGAGCAAATAATGGAGGTACTTTTTTAAAATAAAAATGTAAATGCCACAGTTTACACAGATGGCACGTATGGATTGTATCTTTGGGTATGGTGATTTATTTTGTCTTCTCAAAGTGTGTGTGCAGTAACTCTTCCATCTACTTCCACTTGGCTTATGGGGATCCTTTTTGCTGCTTTCTGATGCATCAGGATTGAAGCAGCTTTCCAAAACTGCAGTTAATTTGGGAATCTATTATAAGTGGACTGTGAGATGGGTGAAATGCAGGTTGGGCCTTTTCTGTTGGGTGAAATCACAGCTGGAATAGAATTTAGAATAGAATTTAGAATAGAATTTAGAATTGATGGGATTTCTACAAAGAGAGGCACTGGGATGTTTTGTAAGCTGGACTTTGGCAGGATTCAGTCTGGAGTGAGCTCCCTGCACACCTGTGCTCACCTGCACTGGGGGAATTTCAGGCTCAGAGCACCAGGACACATGTAAATAATCCTGTACAGATCTGTGCAGTGCAAAGCTTGTTTCACGTGTAAGCATCCTCCTGGAAGGGTTCAATCATGGCATTCTTTGATTCTTCAATTATTTCCTGCTTCCAGTACTGGAGTTGGCTCATTTTGCACATAATGAACTTGCCTCATCTTTTAATATGATTCTTCAAAAAAAACCCCAAGAGCTGTTTCTGTGATATTGTATTATCTGAATCATCCTGTTTAACTTTTTTTTTTTTTAAAGTTATTGTTTCAAATTGTTCTGTTCTTGTGTTTTTTTGCTGGTGTGTAATTAAAATCAAATTTTTCTTTCTCTGGTTATTTAATACTTTAGCTGCCTGTAAATATTTCTTGTTAAGTGCTCTGGAATGTGCTGTAGAAGTTGTATTAGCTCAGTTTAAAGCATTGTTTGGAACCCATTTTGGTTGGTTATTTCTATTAAATTAGAAAAATCATTCTTTCAGTTGGAGTTTCTTTCTTGCACATCATCAGATACGGATCCTTACCTGGCACAAGATTTTCCTGAAAACACCTGCAGTGTGGAAATAGGGGGAAAATTGGGCTGCAGGAGCCCAGGTGAGCCCAGCTGAGGCTGCAAAAAATGATTTGTCACTTTTATCTACACCTGGGCATGGGACACAAGTTATTAAAATAAAGAATTTTTAAAAAGTTTAATAATGGATACAATAAGAGACAAAAATCCAGTGTTGAATTATATCCTTTTCTGACCCCAACTGAGAGGTATTTTAAAAACTTTAATTCTATTTTTAAACCATCAAAGAAGTTTTTTCTGTTCAAGAGAGAGGGGGAAATGTGGGAAATGGATTTGTAGAAAATTCTCCAAACCTGACAGAAGGCTCACACAGTGTTCATCTGTATGCAAACACTGAGATAAAAAATGCTGGCTTAGAAATGCCATGGGATGAGACAGACTTTATTGAGAGAGAAATGGAACTAGGAACAAGTTTCAAAAATTTTCTACAAATCAATTTCCAGCAGCCAGAGAACACACAGGTCCATACAGACAGTGTTACCTTTATAACATCACATGCAGATTCATGTGTTTCATGAATTATTGGTTGAATTTCAAACATTCTTGTGAATTTTCTGATGTTTTGGGAACTCCTCTGTTTGACTTCTTCACACTGCATGATGTCCAGGGTGTTAGGTCAATATATTTTATTTTTTCTTGTGTCTCCATCCTGCTGTTTCACATCCTCTGATAAGGATTTAGTGTGTTCTCCTTAAATTTACCATGGTTTTCTCTAATTGTCCTCAAATTTAACTTGGTATTCTCTAATTGTCCTCCAGTGCTCTGCTTTGTGTCACAGTTGTCACTTGGACAGTGGATGGCCTTACACTGGTTTTAGTTTCACAAAAACCTTTTTTTTAAAATCTTATATTTTGCTAAGGTCTATACACAATACTCTCATCACACTATTATTTCCATAAGCAATACATAGATATTATATTCATTACACTACTATTTCTGTGGGCAACACAGTGCACACTTGAGCTGAAATTTCATTATATTATAT